TACTTCTCATTACATCTGTTCTCATAAGCACATCCAGAAGTGAAAGATGGCATGGAGAAGGAAATGTCTGTGAAAGCATCCTGTGGCTGATCAGCTGTGTCCTCATTAGGAGATGTCATTAAGTACTGACCATGGGGAATGCCTTTCAAGTAAAATGGAGGCAGATGGTTTTTCTCTGATCAATTAGCTGCTCAGATTGATTTGCTAATCAGTGAGCTGAGGTATTTTGTGGCATTTCGAGCATTTTGGTGCAGTTTAATTTATGGTTAGTCTACTGAATAATCTTTAATTCATGATTGTTTAAATTGAAATTGCATATAAATTAGACTTCTTATTTGCCAACACCCCTCAAAACGGCAGGAGCTCAGCATCTGTAGTGGTGATGCTAACTTCCTTGATTACAGAAATGTGATCACAGTCCTGTGTCTTCACTTGAATGTTGTGCTTTTTCTTTTCTAAGCTTTTTTCTTAAAACAAACAAACAAAAACCTCCCAAAAAAACCAAAACAGTCTACCATTCCGTTTTCCTACCTTCCTTCGCTTTTTTTCTTTTTCTTTTTTTCCTCTCTCTCTTTTTTTTTTTTAAATAGGAAAGGGTTACGTTTCAGGCTGGGTGTTTTTTGAAAGAAAAAACATCAGTTCAAAATTACTTAACATGCAGGCATCTTTGTATAAGAGAACAAGTTTACTGACCCCAGAATAAATAATTTATGAGCAAAACACCTCCAATTTGCCCCCAAGCAGAGTCTAACAACATCTAATGGAAGAAAATGGTATTGTTTCCAGTCCTGCTTTACAAGTATTGGATGGCTCAGAGAAACAATTAGGGGTTGTATAGACTATTAACAAAGCCCAGCTTGCTACTGAACAGCAGCTTTTACCATCTGACAAGTTGGTGATGGACTGCATTGAATTAGTTAAACATCTCAGTCGGGTTTCCAGTGGTCTGTGTTTGCAACTTTGAAAGTCTTGGTGACCTCAGCAGATTGAAATAACTTCCAGCTCCTTAAGGTCATAGACATTAAGTTCTGAGAGAAATATTTTGCTTAGGCCCTAATACAGAGCTTGCAAACAAAATATGTTCCTACAAACTGTAGGCAAGTGTCACAGAAGGTAGTGATGCTTTTCTGCAGGTGGGATATATATCACCATTTCTATACATGCAAATAAAGATGTCATCTCACAGCAACAATTTATTATGCCATTTCTCCTTTATAGGCATTGTTTCTCTGCTAGGCTTGGAGTTACTGTTGCCTTGCTCTTACCAACCTCTGGAACGTATCCTGGAACTCAATTGATAAAACTTGCAATTTGTATTTCTGTCTTGTTAATAAAAACTAATGCACCTCAAAATGCTCTTATGAAGAACTGTCAGGGAGGTAAATAATACAACTCCTTGTATTGACTTTCTGAGGGGTTAGGAATTAAATTTCTAAGTCACAGAACTGGTTTCTGGATAGCTGGTTATATATGGGAGAAGCTCATGGAGATGGTTAATATGAAGTGGTGAGGACTTTCCAGTGACTGTGGTTGGTTTCTTTTCCCTTGCAGCGGAAACGCCTTGCATCAAATTATTTGAATAATCCCTTGTTCCTTTCAACAAGAGGTAAGCATATTGTAAAATGAATATACTACTATTCTAATGACATGTTAAATATTTATTAGTAGGATTTCATATGAATTACTGCTGGGGTACCATAGAGCATTACTTTGTGTAAGGTCCCCACGCTTTTTAGTGTGCAGTGAAAATAGATGGTTTTCCTGCAAAAGCAATTGAAGGATGAAGCTAAAGGTCAAAACTGTGCAGAAATGGATCCAAAGTCTCTGCAATCATTGGAAAATCCTGTCTCTAGTATTGTGAGCACCATGCAGAGAGAGACTGATTGAAGAAGGCAGTGTTGCCAACCCCAAGTGCTTTTATATATATATATATATAAATTATTATTTTGAAAATATCTACTATTTTGGGCTTTTCATTTCATCCTGAGAGGCTAGAAATCTAACATACCTTTTGCTTTAAAAAAAATGGCTGAAAAACCACACGATTTTTCTGACTCGAAGAGCTGGAGCCATAAATCTAGATTTGATGGCCTTGAAGATCCCTGCCAATCTTGTATTTATAAGAACTTAAGATGCTGAAAATTTCATGGTAAAAGCCTGGAAAATGAACAAGCCATTTGGGGGTGATGATGATGATTAGCTCATCTGAAGAAGCTCATTCCAGGAAAAACGTGCAACATACAGAAAAGGCAAAGAATTCAGAGGTGGGAGATGAAAGGGATAATGGATGGTCTTAGTGATCCCAAGGGTCTTTTCCAACCTGAATAGTTCTATGATTCTATGAAACAAGAAGAGCACTGAGTACAATTTAATTTTTCATCCCATGTAGGATTTTAAGAGAGAAAGCAAGAAGTTTGAGTTGCATTTCAGAAGAGGAGAGAAAGCCAGTACATAATCACAGAAATGTGATTATGTCCTTGCACTCATGTTGCCTCTGCAATTTAGGCTTTACTGTAATGCATTAAAAGTAAGAGAATCATAGAATCACAGAGGTTGGAAGGGACCTCTGAAGATCATCGAGTCCAACCCCCCTGCTGCAGCAGGAACACCTAGGACAGATCACACAGGAAAATATCTAAATGGATCTTGAAAGTCTCCAGAGAAGGAGACTCCACAATCTCTCTGGGCAGCCTATTCCAGTGCTCTGTCACCCTCACAGTAAACAAGTTTTTCTTCATGTTGAGGTGGAACTTCCTGTGTTGCAACTCGGTGCCATTTGCCCTCATCCTATCACAGAAGACAGGCCTTTTTCTAAGGCAAATATTTTAGTACTAGGAACATTTGCAGGAGTAATTTCAATTAAAACATGGAAGTTTTGACAGTTTTTCAGTGTTTGCTTGATGTCACTGTCAAGTGGCATGTCTAGTGCTTGAAATTCACCTTTCTGGTCCTGCCTTGAATTCCTGCATGACATGACCACCAGCTGAAATCACAGAATCACAGAATCCTAGGGGTTGGAAGGGACCTCGAAAGATCATCTTGTCCAACCCCCCCTGCCAGAGCAGGGTCACCCAGAGCACATCACATAGGAACGTGTCCAGGCGGGTTTTGAATGTCTCCAGTGAAGGAGACTCCACAGCCTCTCTGGGCAGCCTGTTCCAGGGCTCTGTCACTCTCACAGTAAAAAAATTTTTTCGGATATTCACCTTGAACCTCCTATGCTCCGATTTGCACCCATTACCCCTTGTCCTGTCACTGGTCATCACTGAGAAAAGCCTAACTCCATCTCCCTGACACTCACCCCTTACATATTTGTAAACATTGATGAGGTCACCCCTCAGTCTCCTTTTCTCCAAGCTCAAGAGACCCAGCTCCCTCAGCCTTTCCTCATAAGGGAGATGTTCCACTCTCTTAATCATCTTTGTAGCGCTGCACTGGACTCTTTCAAGCACTTCCCTGTCCTTGAACTGAGGGGCCCAGAACTGGACACAATACTCCAGATGCGGCCTCACCAATGCAGAACAGAGGGGGAGGAGAACCTCTCTTGACCGACTAAGAAATGCAGCAGTGCTTCGCTCTGCCTTCTAAACTTTAGTGCTAGATGCAGACAGTCGGCCTACTTATCCTGTGCTCCTAATGCATAGGGTCTCAGAGGACAAGAAGGGTTATTACATGGTAAACAGCTATGATGACATGCCTCTCAGCAGGAGCCCATGCTCATGTTAGCCCCAGTGGAAAGAGCATTACTTGTGGCTTAGTTTTATCTTCAAAATTAAAATTGTAATTTATTATTTGTCTCATCATACCATTTGTTTTACCCATGTACACAGATGGAAAAAACAGGAGAGAATGGCAGTGATAGCAAGTAGATTTTGTCTCAGTTAGGCTTTTGTATCTCTAACCTTCTTTCTGCTGCACATTTCCTATTTTATTTGCAAGGAAGTAGGCACATGGCAGAGCTCCAGTGATGCAACTGTCTCAGAAAACTGGCAGTCTGCTCTCTCTCTCTCCCTTTAATTGTTGATTCCACTTTGAGTCCTGTCTCTTTGGTTATTCCAGCATCCAGAATCTGTGCTGGGATTCTGCATATTCATACAATGTTCAGCTGGATTTCTTTACAGCTGAACTCCCCACCTCTGTAGAGGTTTATTAGCTATGTGCACCAGGCAATATTATGCTAGATGCTGTGCAAGCTTGAAACTGAAGGCAGATGCTGTCCCAGACAGCTTGGCACTGCAGGGATGCAGTTGTCCACCTTCAGGGCAGGGCTTAATTGTCCTCAGTTTAATTTTTTTCCACAATGAGGAAGCAGAAGTGGACATACTTTGAAATATTTAAGATTTTATAGTAAAAGTGGGCTGAAAGAAGAAATAAATAAACTAAAAAAAATCCCTGTGAAGTAAGGAAATAACTGTCATTTCCAGAAATGCAGAAGAGAGCAATTCTTGTAAATTTTTAGCAAAATGTCAATTAATCAGGATTCATTTATCTGAAAATGTCTTACCTGAAATGAGGTCACATCCCTTGACATATATCATTTGTAGAAAAGATTCTTCAATTATCAAGCCCCTGTTTATCTGAATAACATTTATATCCCTTGAGTAATTGCAGTGTCATATCACAGTGGATCTCTGTGTGTGTATTTGTGGATATGAAGTGACATCTACAGCTTTTATGAGTCTGTGATTATTTATAGAACCCATTGCCAAAGGATGCTACAATAGTTGCTTAAAGTAGACAAATTTATGGAAGAAAAAAAAATCTATCTAAGGATGTTAAATATAAAAATTAAAATATGTGAACTTAAGGTTAGGGAAGCTCACAAACCACTAGTGTCTGGAAGGATACTTCTGGAGCAGAAAAATTTGCTCTGTGCTTGCCCTGTTCTTGTACTCTGCATGAATGGCAGTGCTGGATACTGTTAGCAAAGGACCTCAGGCTTTATACCCTTTAGTCTAACTTAGGTGAAGCTGTTCCTTTGTTCTTATGTTCCTCTTCTTACACGTGTGTGTGGTGTGAATGTGCCTGGATCTTCACGTGTGTGTGTATGTCAGTGTATAAAGCAAATGTCTGTCAGCAG